GCTCTTAGCTCCTATTACATACTTAGCACTTCTTAAAGCTGCATAATGAGGCTGGTGTAATTCTTATGTACCATATACTGAGCAAAATCCTTATTTTACATCTGTACTGGAAAAACAGAAACCCAATCAAACTCTATTTTTTAAAAAGAGACACTCTCCCCCATGAAGTTGACATTTATCTCTTTTCCCTGAGACAAAAAGTAGAATATGTTTCGGTAAATGTATCAACCATACTGCTAGTGGTAGTGAAGGTCTGTGATGTGAATGGGGAGATCCCAGCGGACAGCCCTACTCTTTCTGGCACTGGCCCTCAGCTGGGATGTGTGTGTCTCTGTGTGTGTATGTGTGGCTCTTCCCTCATTCACCTTGAGGAAAGGCCTAGTCCACAATAAACTTGTCAATCCACCTAGTGAGGGTGGGGAAACTGACCCAGCCCTCAGACCTTAAGCATGATCAAGATTCAGGAACCAACAACAACATGAGGAGGACTAATAGAGAAAAGCCAAGATAAATCAAGGCACTGACCCTAGAGTTACCAGATGTAATTCAGTAAAAAGAGAGCCTACAATAAAATCTCAAATCACCTCTGAGAATTTTGAGAGTATCGTACATCCATAAACAAGAACAGAATGCTATGCAAAAGGCTGAGAAAATAAGAATGCTTTTATATTTTTCAAAGGATTGCCAAAATTAGAAATTAAATAGTTCTAGATGGAAAGTTTTTCAAAAAAATTTCCCCAGAGCACAGAGTAAACAAAGAAAAAATACAAAGACAAATTTTGTTTTTAAATACAGGAAAAGAAAAGGAAAATCAAGGCCAAATGCATGAAGTCCAACATACAAGCAATAAGCACAACCCACAGAGATCAGAGAGAAGAAAACTACCCCAGATATGAAAAAAGAGACTTTCTTAGTATTGAGATGTATGTGGATTTGGATTTGAAAGACCTGCTGAGTAGCCAGCACAGTAACTAAGAAAAGCATCAACCTTAGGTACACCTTGTACAAACATTTACAGGGGAAAAAAAGATATTATCAAATCTTCAAAAGAAAAAAGCTTGTTTGCCTATAAAGGAAAAGAATCAAATATGCTTTACGTCTAATACCAGCAACCTGGATGCTAGAAGGAGCAATGTCTTGCAGCTTCAAGGGCACATTTCAGCCTCAATTCTACAGTCAGACAAAGCAATAGTCCATGGGAAGGCAGAAGAAGAAAGATTTTTCAGATATGCAAGGACTCAGAAGTTTACCTTCCCTAAGCAGTTTCTTTGCAAGTAATTTAAGGATGTTTGCCAGCAAAATAAAGCAAATCCAGAGTGAAACGACAAAGGATTTAGGAAAAAATGGATCCCAGGGATCTATAAAGGGTATTTACAGATGGCAGCTTGGCACTGACCCAGCAAGTCAAGGGCCCAGACCTGCAGTGGATGTGCAGGCTGCAAAAGGGATGGCTTTGGAAAACAAAGACCATCTGCAGAAAGAAAGTATGACTGGAAAACTGGATAAAGGCACATGATGTTTAGGAAAAGAAGAAAGGCAATAATAAACTTGAGGAAAACACAAAGAGCTATACAAGAAAGTCATGGACCATGTATGAAACAAACTGTACTGTGGCATGTTCTTAAGACTGAAGCTTTGACGGGTTGTAAGAGAACAGACTCTATTTTACCTCAGTGTTAAGAATGTGCTCATTGCACTATGACCCCTGCAGGATCATAACACTAAACCAGTCAGGAACAGGTAATTCCAGGGGACAATCCCATGCAAATTTGGACAATATTTCATAGTCATGAAATGAGAGTTAAATTCTTCATATCATCTTATGAAAAAGCACAGCAGATCTGGTTGCAGATGTAGGAAAGGCTGTAAATATTAAAAGTGAAGGCATAGCTGATGGTACCAATCACAGGTCTTACCAAGAAGAGTGAAGAGATGTCTGATGGAGTGCCAAGCAGACATTGAAGTATAATTTTTATAGTTACGATAGCACTCAATTTAATTATTTCAATAATAATCAGTCATCATTTCCCAAGAGAAGAGCAGTGAGGTACTTAGGGTGTGCTAAACTTTCGTCTTTCTTTGTTGTGGCCACGGATGGTATATAGTGAATAAAACAAGATGAGAGATGGAAGACCAGGTGTGGTAGCTCACGCCTGTAATCCTAGCACTCTGGGAGGCCAAAGTAGAAGGATCACTTAAGGCCAGGAGTTCAGGACCAGCCTGAGCAACAGTGAGACCTCATCTCTACTAAAAATAGAAAAATTAGGTATCATTGTGGCAGGCACCTACACTCCCAGCTACTTGGGAGGCTGAGGCAGGAGGACCACTCAAGCCCAGAAGGTTGAGCTTACTGTGAAGCTAGGCTGACACCATGGTACTCCAGACCAGGCAACAGAATGAGACTCTGTTGCAAAAGAAAAAAAGAGAGAAAGAAATGAGATGGAAGTATATCATCTAGCACCATGGGCATAATTATCAATAAAACCCAAACCAGGAAATGCTCAAAGAGGCTGTCTCTGAAGCCAGGCATGGTGGCATGTGCCTATAATCTCGGCTACTTGGGAAGTTGAGGCAGGAGGATAGCTGAAGCCCCAGAGTTCGAGGCTGTAGTACACTATGATCACTGCACTCCAGGCTGGGCAACATAGGGAGACCCTGTGCCTCCAAAAAAGAGGTGTCTCTGAAAGGTGATGGCAAAGAGGAGGGTGTGAGATTAGATGAAAAGTAAAAGCTAAAAATTCCATTTGAAACAAAGGAAGGAGAAAATATTGAAAATACACCTAGGGAAATGCAACTGGAATTGGACTGCATGAGGGACCGAAGTAGATTTCTGTGTCCCTGTTTCCATACACACATGTAACATTTCTCTGCCTCCTAATATCTTACTCTTACCTTCTGCTTCCTTATAACTTCAGTTGGCCATGACCTCTCTTATCAGTCTGGGTACAAATAGGAAAGAGATGAAGCCCTGATTTATAAAGTGAGATACGGAAGGGCTTCTTACCAGAGGTGAGGCCAGGTGAAGGGAAACCAAGGTGTGTTTGGGGGGGGGGTACATCCTATGCCTGCAGGGAGGCTGGGAGCAGTTGGGGACCTGGAGGAGGGCTGGGCTTAGGGAAGGCTACCCTTCAGAGGCTGAGGTCTCAGGAGGAAATGAACCACAGCCAGGTCAGCAGGAGCCAGTGGTAGCTGCAAGAAGCAAGGTGGAGAAGGAGGCCAGGATATGTGGCGAGCACAGGGAGAATATCCCACACACCTGGGCTACATCTCAAGCTTCTTTCTATATGGCCTTTTAAATCACCCTCTCAGGCTATGGTCAGCTGCCCTTGGGTCCACTGCCTAGGCCCACCAACAGTACTGGGAATGGTAAGGGGAGAGGGGAGCAAAATTGGACTACAAACATCCTCGCTCCAGGGAGAGCACTTTCATTTGCTGGCAGGTATAGTATAGATGCAAACATGTGCGCATGTGTGTGTATAACATATAAGTTAATCAGTAGCCACTGTCACATTGTGATTGGTTGGCCTCACCACTCAGATGATAATAATACCATTTGCTGAGCACTTCTGCCACCCAGGTGTGGTGACATTACTTTGTGGGAATTCACACTACTGTGTACTAGCCCTAATTAGTAACTGTGTGCTCTAGATGAAGAAGTCAGCCAGAAGATGTCCAGGGATGCATTTCACCCACCCTGGGCCATTTGACTACAGACCTGAGCTACTGAACACAATTTTCACCATATACCACGAGATGCAAAATAAAAATTAACATCGTATCTTAAGCAGCCTTAACTTTGGGGAAAGTTCCCTTCTCCCTATCAGTGCATTCAAAAGTAATATTATAACAGCAGTATAGTTATCCAAAATGTTACTATTAGGGAAGCATCTCAAAGGGCTTATGGGATTTCATACTCTTTATTTTATGTGAATGTATGCTTACCTTACATAAAGTTAAACGGATAGAGTTTAAATTTTTTTAACTTCAGAAATAATGAGGTTGGACAATTAAGTTCACAAATTAATCCTAGAAAAAGTGCTAATACCTCCCTGCTGAAGATCACTATTGTCACCAGATAGCCAAGAGGATACTTCAAAGGAGACTGTAGTGATACGCAGCGACGAGGGAGAGGTTAGTACCTTTTCTACAAAGAGTTTGAGAACTTAATTGTCTGACCTCATATATCCATCTAAAATTGACTGAGAGAGTTGATCTTAGGTTGAGTGTTCTTACTACAAAAATAAGATAATAATAATAACGGGCATGGAAGGAAATTTGGGGAGGTGATGGATGTTTATGGCCTTGATGGTGGTGATGGTTTCACAGTGTATGGAGATGTTAATTTGCCCAGCTCGTCACACATGTCCATCATTCCTCAATACAATGGTTTTTTAAAAAGTTAAATATTCTAGCAGCATTATCAACTATCACTTATCACCTCAACAAGCATCTGTTTGTATGTCAGGCACGTTACCAGATGCTGGGCGATAATAGAGCACAAAACAGCCAAAACTCTGCCTCATGGAGCTGCCATTCTAACTGAAGTTGGCTTGTCCAGAGCTTCATCCAGCTGGCTGCTTAAAACTCAAGTTATTATTAATACATTAGTGCCAATTACAAAGTATTTATTTCCTCAGTCCCCCAAAGAAGACCTGATTTCTGTTTTCCTGGCTGCTTGACAAGTCTCAGACAGTTTTTGTGAATACCAAGCTTTTCCCCACGTGGCAACTAAAGGAGTCATTCTCTCTCTCCACTCCAGTGCTGAGGGATACCGGTAAACTCAGACGTGGGCTGTTACAGGTGCTTGCAAGAACTAACTCCCTCCTCCGTTGTCCTCTTGCTTTCTCTAGGCTACGGAGAGTCCAAGTAGGAAGCTGTGGACCGGACACAGTCGGTTGCCACAGAGACGACTAGGATATGATCCATGAATTGCAAGGCCCAGCTAGTGCTCCCAAAGAAAGACGCTTCTCCCGACCACCACTCCAGTGCCCTACAGCTCCAGCGACATCGAGGCAGAAGATGCAGCCGGCAGACAGGAGATGGACACCACCGAAGTATTGAGGGGGCCACCCCCAGCCGTTTGTGTCCCAGCTCCACGTGTCTCTCCAAGATGGCCTGTAACAGCACGTCCCTGGAGACTTACCAATACCTGCTGCTGAATGCCAGCAACGCGACGGAACCCGGGGCCACGGCCCTGCCCGGCCCACTGAGGATCGTGCTGGCGGTGGGGATGCTGCTCATGATGGTGGTCGGCTTCCTGGGCAACACCGTGGTCTGCATCATCGTGTACCAGAGGCCAGCCATGCGCTCGGCCATCAACCTGCTGCTGGCCACCCTGGCCTTCTCCGACATTATGCTGTGCGTGTGCTGCATGCCCTTCACGGCCGTCTCCCTCATCACCGTCCGCTGGCACTTTGGGGACGGCTTCTGCCACCTCTCGGCCACGCTCTACTGGTTTTTCGTCCTGGAGGGCGTGGCCATCCTGCTCATCATCAGCGTGGACCGCTTTCTCATCATCGTCCAGCGCCAGGACAAGCTGAACCCGCGGAGGGCCAAGACGATCATCGCCGTCTCCTGGGTGCTGTCCTTCTGCATCGCGGTCCCGCTGCTCTCGGGCCGGACGTTCATGGAGGTGCCCGCGCGCGCCCCCCAGTGTGTGCTGGGCTACACGGAGCTCCCCGCCGCCCGCGCCTACGTGGGGACGCTGGTGGCGGCAGTCTTCTTCGTGCCCTTCAGCGGAATGCTGTGCGCCTACACGTGCATCCTCAACACGGTGCGCAAGAACGCGGTGCGCGTGCACAACCAGTCCGACAGCCTGGACCTGCGCCAGCTCGCCCGCGCCGGCCTGCGGCGGCTGCACCGCCCGCACCAGGTCAGCGTGGACCTGAGCTTCAAGACCAAGGCCTTCACCACCATCCTCATCCTCTTCGTGGGCTTCTCCCTCTGCTGGCTGCCCCACTCGGTCTACAGCCTCTTGTCCGTGTTCAGCCGGCGCTTTTACTACGGTCCCTCCTTCTACGCCACCAGCACCTGCGTCCTGTGGCTCAGTTACCTCAAGTCCGTCTTCAACCCCATCGTCTACTGCTGGAGAATCAAAAAATTCCGCGAGGCCTGCATAGAGCTGCTGCCCCAAACCTTCCAGATCCTTCCCAAAGTGCCTGAGCGGATCCGGAGGAGAATCCAGCCAAACACAGTCTATGTGTGCAACGAGAACCAGTCTGCGGTTTAGGGGTTTCTGGGGTCGGGGCGGAGGTGGGGACTGCAGAGAGCAACTCTGGCGACCCGGGTTCCTGTCCTGCCCTGCTCCCTCGCAGGGTAGTCGTAGTCTGCACTCTGCGGTGGCTATTTAAGCACAAAGGTACTCATTTGTTACCAGATGAGCTGCAGCTCCCAAATTTCAAATTTTGGCAAAATGATTTTTTTTTTCTCATCCAGAAGGAGCCTGTGTGGGTCTCATGGGAACTGCAAGGTAGTTAAGGCAAAATGGAGTGGGCTGGGGAGTGCAGAAGTAGAAGTTGGGCAGAAAGTCAGGGGCAGGGGGTGGGCAGAGGCAGGGGTCTGTCCCAGGAGCTCAGTCCCTCCTCCCAGCTCCCTCTCCACCTGCTCCAGAGAAATCCTGAGGTGCGGTGTTCAGAGGAGAGAAACCCAAGTAGGTGCCAGTGGGTGGATTATCGTTCCCTCTTTGATGCTTGCCTTCTTCAGCTGTTCATGTCTGTGGCATATGGGGAATGAGGAAAGGTTCTTTAACCTTGGTCAAATGTGCATTTCTGGCCATGCCAAATCATTCTTTCCAGAAAGAAACCAAAATCTCCCTGGGATACAGAGTGAGCCCCTGTGCTTTTGAGTCCCCTGGTGTGGCACATGGGAGACCTGAGTGGCTCAAAGCCCACAGAATGTTCTGGGGCAACTCACGTGAAGTGAGAAGCACACCACGGGCACTCATGCTTGTGCCCCATACCCACGCACCCACGCCCACATGGCCTGGCCCATCCTGTCCCTACAGTCTGTGAATAGTCCCTTGGTCCCTTCCCTCTTTCCCTTCCTTTCTTTTCTACCATCTGATTCCAGTGTGCTGAGCAAACCTTCGTAGTGACCTGTTTTCATTGCCAGGAGTGGTCAGTCACCGGGCCTTGTTTACACATTTCCTCCAGACATCCTGGGGCCCCAGAGCCTTTGTGAGCCACCAATGCCCTTCAGCACTACCATGGCTGCAGGAGGCAGAGCGGGCAAACCTGCCCCACAGGTGGTCTCCATCAGTCTCTGTGTTCTCCTACCTCATTCAGACCCGCTGCTGCCATCCAGTCCAAAGCTGCCCAGAAGGGACCTTTCTGCTTGCACCCTACACTCAGTTACCTGCAACCCCCAGGAGCTTCTGATGTTGGGAATGAGGTTCCTGATTTCAGGGCATGGCACGGATTCCACTGAGCTCTCTTTATCCTAGGAGAGTGGGAAGTTTAAGGTGAAATTTAGAAAATACTGGTCTGACTCTGTCAGGAATTACTCGTGTGACTAACTTCGATGGGTCTCAGTTTCCCCATTGGCCAACTAAGGAGGCAGGTCCAGAGGATCTCCAACATCCCTTTTCATCTTGCAAACCCTCTGATCATACAATGTGTGTTTCCTACCCACAGTTACCAGATATTTATTCCTGCATCCATTTATTCATCCATGCAGTGAGTATTTATTAAGTGCCTACTAGATGTAAGGCACTGTGGGGAGACAGTGATGAACGAGGTATGGGCTTTGCCCAAAAGCAGTTGTCTGATTTATCTCAGGATAGTGGTAACTTGAATGCAGTTGAAGAGCACAGAAACTCCATTTCCAAGATGTATTAAGAAGCCAGCTCCCTGTTCTCACACTTTCTCCCCATGGTGGTAATGACAAGGGCAGGGAGGAAAGGAGGGTGAAGACAAGAATATAATTACGTTAATCTAAGCCCAGATGAGGGTTAAGAAAACAATTGACACCTGTGCTCACCAAGTCCACCCTCCTTTTATATCCAGGGGGGGGAGGAGGAAAGAAAAAGGGAGAGAAAAGATGGGCAATAGGTAGGTGATTGACTGAGGTGAGTCCCATCTAGTCTGTGTCCCCAGTGCCCACAGCAAGGTAGGGATTTGCCTTCAGCTCCCTCGGGACAGAGTTTCAGGGTCCCAGCAGTGTCTAAGAGCACAGCCAGGCCACCGAGGGGACCAAGCCTGTGGGTACCTCCTCTCTGGTGGGCATTTCAGATAATTTTCTTCAGGAGCCTTGAGCAAAAGAGAAGTCACAAAACTGAATGAATGATGGTACCAAAATTTACATCAAATCAGTGTTCTATGATGTGTGTTGGACAGTAAATATATGTTTCAAAGTAATAATTTTGTATATATTTTAAATAAAGTATTATTGCTCTTTCGGTGTATAAGCCTAAATTCTTGCCAAAATTTGCAGGAAGACCATGATTAGTAAACCCAGAATGCCACGCCTAACACCCCTGTATCAGTTCATTTAGACTGCTATAACAAAAAACCTTAGACTAGGTAATTCATAAGCAATAGAGACTTACTTCTTATAGTTCTGGCGATTGGGAAGTCCAAGATAAAGGCTCTGTGTCTAGTGAAGCCTCCCTCTGTTTCATAGATGGTGCCTTCTTGCTGTGGGAGAAGGGAATTCCCTCAAGCCTCTTTTATGAAGACACTAATCCATTCATAAGGGTGGAGCCCTCGGGACTGAATCACTTCCTAAAGGGCCCACCTCTTAATACAATTGCATTAGGTATTAGGATCTGACATATGAATTTGGTGGCAGGGAAGGGGCTTGGGGGGATGGATTCTAACATTTAGATCATAGCAACTAAGACAAAACAACTTCAGCCAGTACGTTACTTAGCAAAGCTGGAAAGACTATAGGATGTGATCTTAAGATGACAGCCCGGACTAATTGAGCAATGGGAGTCACAGCTATGTGACCACTTTCATCATTTTGTTTCCCTATCACAGTCCTGCTTAGTAACCCCAGCCAGCCAGTCTTCACCTCTGACTGACTTATAGTTTGCCACCTTCATTTTTCCCTCTGGCCTCACCCTTAACAAACTCAATTTCCTAAGATACCAAGTAAAAACCTAGCTCTGGTCTCCTTCTGTGGGACTTACAGGACAAGCACTGCTTTGTTGTTTTGTTATTATTTTTTCATCTTCTCTTTGATATTCACCCAGACTCTATGTGCAGTCAGGGCAGCTTCACACCTGAATTGTTTCTGTGGGGCCGTGGGCAAAAGACAAAAAAAACTGCGGTAATAAAATGACCCTGAAAGGCAGAGGCCCAGGCTCCCTGGGAGAGCTTTGCCTTAAAAATGAGACACAAGTAAATGTCACACAAGCCCTCCTAATTGTGACTACCCCAGAAAATCCACCACATTTTCATTTCAAATCTTGGTCCCTGAGGTTGGGGTGAAATAAAAGCAAAGGTTCCCTAGGATGGTCTGACCACCAAGATGAGCAAGAAAAGTCCAGATCAATTCTCCCTTTGCCATTCTGAGCCCTGGGTGTATGTCCCCTGCACAGGACTCACGGTGCATGCTTTTGGGGGACTACAAACCCCTCCACATCAAGTATTTTTGCTGTTGCTCTGCTCCCCTTCTTCGTGCCTTTGGCCCCTTCGTGCCCCAGAGCCCTTGCAGTTGCAGAAGTGCCCAGCACTCAGGTATCTGTTTTTAAGGAAATGAAGAATCAAAACTGCCTATATTAGTGTAAGGCCATAAGGTAAAACTCTGACTCCTACAGAAGTTAGACAACTAAAAGTTAACCAGGATACATCCTCACTTCCTTCCTATAGTTGCTTATTGCTCAAGAGTCTAGATGCATCACTGTTACAAAACCTAAGATTGGTCTTTGAGGTGTCTTCTGGACTATGCATTTGGGGGGAACCAACTGATGTCAACTGAACCAGTAGGCACATGGAAACTGACTCAACTGATTCTGTGATCCTCCACTCACGAACTATCTCAGCCAAGAAGACAATTTCTATTTCTCAGCTCAATAAGTTCATCCCCCAGCCAATTAGCAGACCCAATTCCCTAGCCCTTTGTTCACCAAATTATCTTTAAAAACCTTACCTCCATAATTCTCAGGGAAATGTATTTGAGAAATTTCTCCCATCTCCTTACTCAGTGCCCTGCGATATGAAACTCTTTATCTACGGCAACTCCTGCTGTCTCAGTATATTGGCTCCCTTTTGAGCAGTGTATGAGGGTGCTGGCCACATACACCGAGGCTGGCAATACAACCCAGGTGGGCAGTGACAGGGTCAGTGGAGCATGTGCTTCAGAATGGGACAGTCTGAACCCCAGCACTGCCCCCCCCTTGGTGTGATTCTGAGCAAGTCACACAGCATGCCTGTGCCCCCACCTTCCTCATCTCTAAAATAGCAGAGACACTCCCAGCCAGAAGACCTGAGTGACGAATAGATAAAAGAATGCATACAAAGGATCTAGTCTAAGGCCTTGTCTGTGGTAGATGCTAAAGTTACAGAAGGAATAATTATTACAGTTGTACTGTCAACTTGTTTGATAGCCAGCCAAGGCTTATCCTTTCTGGGGGCAAAGGTGGAAATTTGTTTCAGAAACTGGATGTTCAGTCTTTCTGAAAAAAACAAACCAAACAATTCTATGAGGACACCAGCTGGGGGTCCTCTAATTCAATTCAATCCTGACATTATCTACCCAGAGTTAGAGTCAGATCCCATGATTGACAGCTCAGGCTCACAAGACTGCTACCCCTTTAGATACCAATCACAGGTTGAAGTGGTCACCCATGCTTTTGACCAATAGGCTATAAATTGGGGGTTCCCTCCTTGAGTTTAATTAATTGGTTATGGTGGTTCACAGAACTCAGGGAAACACTTCATTTAAGTTTACTCATTGATTGTAAAGATATTACAGAAGATACAGGTGAACAGCCGAATGGAAAAGTTGCATAGAGCAAGGCATATGTGAAGGCGTGCAGAGTTTCTGTGCCTCCTCTGGGACCACCACCCTCTGGGAACCTCCCTGTGTTCAGCTCACCTGAACCCAGTCCTTTGGGGGAATCGTACGGAGGTTTGATTACACGGGCAGGACTGAGGACATCATTGATATTGGCAATCAACTTCAGCCCTTCTTCACTCTTCCCAACCCAAGGGCCAGGGTAGAGTTGAAAGTCTTCGGTCTTTCTAGTAACCAGTCCCTTTCCTGAAGCCACCCAGGGGCCCTTAGCCACCAGCCATCTCATTAGCATACAAAAGCCACTCTTACCACTCTGGGGATGCCAAGGATTTTAGGAACTATATACC